TCACCTTCCGTAAGATGCTAGAAGCCTTCCTATTAGCAAAAATAGGGGAAGATTCCAAAGAAAGTTGAAAATCTATTCCTTTATGCAACAGCGACCACAAAGAGTAGCCTATACAAAGTATTGGAAGGAGGAGGCAACTCTGACCAAAGAACAATGGTTGCATAAACTAACAGAATTTGCAGAACTGGTAAGCTTAACGGCCAAAATAAGAAATTGAGCAAAAAATAAGGAGCGGGACTGTTTTGGAGAGTATTTAAGAAGAGACGGTATCATGATTCATTTCCAGGCGGGATGAACTTGACTACTTACTAGCAGTGGACAAATGAATAGAGAGGAAGGGGTGGAAATTTATTTGGGGATGCAGCGATCCAAAGAATATGAAACAGAATGTCAGTGAAAGAGAAGATTGGGACAGTCTACTCACTGACTGGGCACGTAAATCCATGCCTATAAATGTGTGCAACTTTAAAAACGAAAACAAGCAAGCAATCTTCTGAGGACGAGAAAGGTCTTATGGCATAATCCAGTCCCTTCGTGCATCTCCTTCCATTGCAGGAGATCTGGCAGCCTCTCGCTGGAGAGATGCAGGCTGCGTTTGCTGCCCCAGCACACGCGACTGCTTGGAACCCTTGCAGGCTGGGCTATCAAGGGGCGCGCGCGCGTGTGCCCTCTCGCGCATGCGCGCCAACGCGCCCGCCACCTTGCCCACGTCAGTCCTTCCCAGGCGTCTTCTCCGATTCGGCCGGGAAGGGAGACACGCCTTGCGAGGGGCGGGACTAAACAAGCCTCCCCCAATCGCGGCGCAGGCCGCTCGGCTGAGAGCGCCCCGCCCCCTTCTTCTTCCCTTTCGCCGAAAGATGGCGGCCGCCGTCGTGGGGCCTGGCCCGGCCGCCGAGGAGCTGAGCCTGCTGGAGAAGTCCCTGGGATTGAAGAAGGGGAACAAGTACAGCGGGCAAGGAGAGCGGAAGGTGAAGAGGGACTGGGGGTGCCGGGGAGGGAAAAGGGGGCTGGCGGTTAATGGAGGGAGGGAGAGCTGGCTGCCTTCGCCAGGCAGACCGACCGACGCGCGTTTGAATGGAGATTCTCCTCAGAACTGGCTTGGAAGGGGGATTCCCAAGGCTCATCTAGTCCAGCCCCCTCTGACAGATGGTACTATGAACTGGGCCGGTGCCAGGATGTTTTGCAGCTCTCTAGGCAAAGCTAACTGCTTGCACAAAATAATAATAATTGCTAACTTCGCAGGTTGTCTCGTGTCTGGAAGTTTACTCCGCGCCCCCCCTTAACCTTTGAAAATGCTGTTTCCATATTTTGCAGCTATTACATCAGCAAATAGAACAATAAGCACAGAATAAATTGTATTATTTGATATTGGGGGTGGCAAAGTTAACATAAGTAACATGATCTTGGGTTAGGCCAAGTTTATGTGATAGCAGAACAGATGAAACCAGAACAATAAAAGAACTCATGGTTGTTTTTTTGTTGCATAGGACAGAGGATTGGATCATGATCTAGTGAAGAATCTTATTTAGTATGAAATCAAATGAATGAGCCATACTTCCACAATTCAAATTTTGAGACCTGATTTAACAGGTTAATGGACACTATATATTGCTGTTAATCATAATATGTGAAACTTACTTTTTCTTCCATTATTTAGGCCGACCTTACAGTGCAGGAGAAGGAGAAATACCTTAACGTCTCTCGTTGGTTTAATCATATTCAGCATTATCCAGGTATCCGGCAACATCTGTCTAGCATAGTCTTCATCAAGAACAGACTCTATAATACACATTAAGTGCTGTGTTAGGATTTCCTAGGAAGTGAAAAACGTCCTTTAGAATGACTAATGTGCAAGCCTTGGTTTCTGCCATTTCCATATGTGAAGCTGAACAGTTGGTGCCTAAAGTAATAAAGTTGCATTGATTAGCTGTCTAGAAATACGGACTTCATTAACACAGTTGTTTTGGCAAATTTCAACAAGTGAAATGTGAATCAAGCTCCTTAAAGTAGAACATTTATTTTAACCATACAGATACATAGGAACTTAGCTTTTATCGTATGGAAAAGTATAGAACTTTTACTGCAATATGTCAGCTGTGCTATTGGTCTGAATTGTATCATGCATAGTGCTCCCTTGTATTTTTCTCCTATGAATGTTTACACTTGTTTTGTAAAAAGTTAACTATGAAAAAATATATTGTGCCAATAATTTTGAAGCAGAAGCCAAATGTATTGGTAGCAAATCATATTTATGTGATAAATTATTTTAAAAGCCCTTGTTTTTATTATTTATTTCTAAGGGTTGGGGAAGATAGAAATTGATACAAAATATTAAAGTATCAAGGGTGAATGGAATAAGGAACTAATCTTTTAAAAAGAAAACTCATACTATCTTAGTTCCACAGAAACTTCTTCGTTATATTTTCTGCTATTTTCAGGCTCCTGCCTTTTGCGCCTTATTATTTTCAGGCAGCAACTTATGCCCAGTGCAAACAAATGTCGGTGGTCCTCTCTCTAGTTTAGGCACATTCCGTGTTCAGTAAGAGGAGCTGGTGTTTACATATTACAGAATATTTAGGAATTGTTGACCTGCAGAATGGTTTGCAGGCATTTGTTAATAAACACATCTCTGTTGGTAACCTGACTGGTACCGGAATAGGAAGGTACCCAGAAACTCCATGTGCATCATTCCTGACCTCCTCAAGAAGGGTAATATACACAGTGGGTTGCATCGAACTGCTTGAATGGAACAGACTTTATCTCCTGCCATTCTAACAGGTGGAGGCCAACTGTATCATTTTGCAGAAACTGCTACATACATAGTGTCCATCATTATATAGTAGATAGCGTGAGACCCACCACTTTATCTCTTTCTTAGCTGCTATTATTGTTTTATTTAGAAGAATTGCATTGGCCAGCCCCATTTTAAGTAACAACAAATATTCTGCTTTGCTTTTATGAGAGAGCACCCCCTCCAATAGTTGGATAGAATGAAGAGCATTAACCTAACCTGGGGCTTTAAATCATTGTTCACGTTTGATGAGAAATGTATTTATTTATTCCTCCTTAATGTTATCCTTGCTATGCACACCGGGATGAAATGATTTTCAATCCATTGTCAGGTGATTTCCCACACCAGTAATTTCCCACACCTTGTAATGGGTTCAGACATGTGGCAATCTGTCTTGGTTCCGTCTGGTATGAAACACTTTGTTTTAAAGTGGCAGAAGAATAAGAATCTTCCTATGCACAGCAAGGGATATGGCAGTGCCATGGAAAAGTACGAAATTCAAAGAGTGATCTCGAGGTGTCCTATGAAAGTACCATTTATATATTTACATACTGTTGGGTAAATAATAATAATAATTTATTATTTATACCCCGCCCATCTGGCTGAGTTTCCCCAGCCACTCTGGGCGGCTCCCAATCAGTGTTAAAAACAGTACAGCGTTACATATTAAAAACTTCCCTGAACAGGGCTGCCTTAAGATGTCTTCTGAATGTCAGGTAATTATTTATCTCTTTGACATCTGATGGGAGGGCGTTCCACAGGGTGGGCGCCACTACCGAGAAGGCCCTCTGTCTGGTTCCCTGTAGCCTCACTTCTCGCAATGAGGGAACCACCAGAAGGCCCTCGGCACTGGATCTCAGTGTCCGGGCTGAACGATGGGGGTGGAGACACTCCTTCAGGTATACAGGACCGAGGCCGTTTAGGGCTTTAAAGGTCAGCACCAACACTTTGAATCGTGCTCGGAAACGTACTGGGAGCCAATGCAGATCTCTCAGAACTGGTGTTATGTGGTCCCGGCGGCCACTCTCAGTCACCAGTCTAGCTGCCGCATTCTGGATTAATTGCAGTTTCCGGGTCACCTTCAAAGGTAGCCCCACGTAGAGCGCGTTGCAGTAGTCCAAGCGTAAGATAACTAGAGCAGTGTTTCCCAAACGTTTTTGGGCAACGGCACACCTGTTTACCGGAAAAAAATCTCGCGGCACACCACCATTAAAGCCCCGCCCCGTGACGTCAGCGCGCAGCGTCACGCCGGGAGGGACGCACAAAAGTCAAAGTTTTTCCCTCCCCGCGAAGCAATGAAAGAGGGCGCCTCAACACCGGGAGGTGGGCAGGGAGCGGGGGGAGCGGCCAGACGGGCTCCGCTGGGGGACTTTCGGCTGCCGGAGGCGGGGAAGGGGCGGCTGCAGCGGACCCGGAAGTGGTTGCGCCCATCGGGGGCGGTGGGAGCGCGCCGTGCGGGTTGGTGGGTGGGGGAAGGAGAGGAAGAGGAGGGGGCGGCGGCGGCGGCCGGAGGCTGGACGGATCCGCGCAGGGACGGCGCGCGAGCCGGGAGGAGGCGCGAAGAAGGAGGCAAGGCGAGAGCAGCGCGGCTCGGGATGCATTCGGACTGCCGGCTGCTGCGCCCGAGACGCGGGGTATGGTGAGCAGCCCGGAGCGCCCGCTCCCCCGGGGGACCCGGCCGGCGCTGGCCTCCCTCCTCCTCCTCCTGTTGCTGCTCAGGCGGGACGCGGCGGCGCAGAAAGGTGCGTGCGGGAGCCCCGCCGGGAGGGGAGGGACCAGAGCCTTCCCGCCTTTCTTGCTTGGCGCCCACCCAAAAGCCCGCCGGGTTTTCGCGCCTTCCTCCAGTAGGCCGGCCGAAGCGAGCGGCGATGGGATGTGGGAGCTCGCTCGCTCGCCGCCCCGCGTGTGCTCGCCGCCGCCGCCCCGCCTCTCGCCGCCCGACTCGCCCGCCTCCCTCCCACGGCACACCAGCCGGTGTCTCACGGCACACTAGTGTGCCGCGGAACACCGGTTGGGAAACACTGAACTAGAGCATGCACCACTCTGGCAAGACAGTTCGCTGGCAGGTAGGGTCTTAGCCTGCGTACCAGGTGGAGCTGGTAGACAGCTGCCCTGGACACAGAGTTAACCTGCGCCTCCTTTCAGCCTAACCTAACTCTCAGAGTTCTGGAGATTAAATGAGGGAGAGAACTATGTGCACCATCTTGAGCTCCTTGGGGAGAAAGGTGTGTGTGTGGGGGGGAAATATAATAAACTTAAATATGCATTTATAGCCATGCAGTCTCAAAACAGGTTAGCTACTATTACCGTTAGTAAGATAATACTATTTCTTTGACTTAAGCAGTACGGATACAACTTTGCCCTATACCATCACTCATAGGAGTTAAGTCGTCAGAAAACAAAAGATTGGGAAGAAAAGTTTTAAAAGGTTTCTGCCTGCAGGTAGGACAGCTGCTATCTCTTATCTTTTCTAGTGATAGTTTCCATTAAATTTATAGGGATCTATTATCCTGCTTTAAACTGTCCTTACTCTGGACTGGCCATATTTCACTTTTTATCTTTTTTTTGTCATAGAATTAAATACATATTCAATCCTATCTCATTTACATTTTTAAAAATAAAAGAAAAACTGCCTCCCCTGTTTCTATGGACTTCTAACCATCAATCTAAAACTTGTAGAAATGTGGCAGTTTAATAGATTGGTGGCTTTTTAACTTTTGCCCTTTGGAGAGCAATATTTCTTCTCGGCATCCATAATTAGACAAGCCTGCTGTTCTCCATTATCAGAACATTCCATTTCATATATCCTCCCTACACTTTAAACACTTTTCTGTGCATTAGAAACCATAGTGCTATACTTCTGATGTAGTGAAATGAAATTATGTCCTTTCGCTTTCAAATAAATCTGGTCAAATCTTTATCACAAAGCATTTATAAGAAAGTACCCCTGTTGTATATTCGTATGCTTTTTGAATATACAGATTCTTGCACGCACTCTCACGTACACAACCTTCGCATTCTAGCATCCTGTGTCATGTGTGGTGGATTTATATCATTAGCTATAGCCCCCAAGCTTTAGAGAAATGTAGAAAGAAGTTAAAGATTGGAGAGGGAGCTTGATTTTGTAGTGATTGCTTGTTACCGCTTTGCCTAGCGTTTCTGCAGGCGTAACTTTTATTTCCTGTATGGGTAGTGACTGTAATCATTTCAGCTGCTGCTGAAGAGAGCCTGGCTCATCCTTCACTCCCCATAAAAAAAAGGGGGAGGTTGGTAATTTTTTATTGTGGTTGCATCTTAAGGATTCCCCCTTTTCCATTCCTGTGTTACCTTGGCCCCCTTTAGGAAGATACGGAGCCATTAAACTTTCCATTTTATTGGATGAACTAAATCTCTTTCAGCTTTTTCCAGTCTCATGATCTAACGTGACAGCTCGTCGGTGATGTCTATTCCACTTCAAAGAGGCAGGTAGCCTAGGGCCAGCCAGCTGTATTGTGGATTCCGTGGATTTGGCTTGCTGTTCCTGCTGGGTGTCATCTGTCTTCTTAGTCTTGCAGTGGATAATTTTTGTGCTCCCCCTAACATCATCTGCCTGAGCAGTTCCTGCCTGGCAGGCCTGTCTGTCCAGGTTGAGCATCAAATATGGTAACCGTATGACTAATCTGACAAGGCAACTACTCCAAAGAGTGCAGCCCCAGGCCTGCTCTGACCAGGATCATCATCACAGCCCACAAACTTCCAACAATCATGACCACGGTCTCAGTCTTCCATCACAGATGCTGCCCATGGACTTATTCTGCTCACGCAATGTATGTCTCACCCCCCCAACCCCTCTCTTAAAGGCTGTCATTCCAAATCTTTGTGTGTCGTGAGAAGTCTGCCTCAACAGGTTTGGGTTTCCCTGCCTGTTGCCAGCATTTGACTCAAACACCGCCACTTGGATGAAACAATCCTTTAGTGGATTATCATTGCTAGACAGCCTGTGGGAAAAATGACAGGACTCGGCATGTTAATCCGAAGATTTTACAATCCAGAAAGCTGCTAACACTAATCATAAATGGCAAGATGATCCCTAAAAGAGAAAGCGGGTTCCCTAGCAAGGCAAAAGTGACACAATTTGTTTAGTAAATCTTCCCCAAAACTCTATATGATGACTACATATGTTGATTTTCATGCTCAGAGCCATAAATATTCCCAGAGCTTTATGACTTGATGACTCTATCGTATGAACTGACAGGTACAGGATCTGCAAACGCTGCCTTTTTATAACTACTGCCTGCTTTCCTTTCCATTAGAAAGAAAAAACCGCTTCAGTGACTAAACTGTGACAAAATTATGTGAGCATACAATGCAAAAAAGCAACAACCTGAATTGTGCACCTGTGCACCGGACCCTATTTTATGAAAGCAAAATTTTTGGCTTTGAAGGCCACCTGTTACAAAACTGGCTGCCATTCAGTTCAGTTCTGTAATTCATACATTGCATTTCCCCCCACTGCATAGAAATATCTCTATAGAACAAGGCATTTAGACTATCGTGTATGAAATGTAGCCTGCATGTTTGGCTGTATGACTGCAGGAGTCATACACTTGTGCCAAAATAGCTGTTTCGCTATCAGAAACATATGTGCTCCTTCCTGTAGGAAAAATTATCTCTGTGCAAGGGGTAGGGAAACAGATATGAGACACCTCGACATCTGACAGTTGGTTGCAAGGTGAAAGTCCTGTCTTTGGATATGAACTGGTGCTAAAATCTTATTTGGTGATTGCAGCAGATAGGAAGGAAATTCTCAAAGCAACACCTGGAAAATTATTGACACTATATTATTGATCAACAACATTATGAATAACCCAGTGGATAGTGCTGCGACAAAAGCACACTACAGAATAGCCGTAGTTGTGGGCAAGTAGCAAATACCACCTGCCTACCACTCCCCTCCAAAGCCTGTTTTTGCTAAATCACTTCACAGCTGATTCTAGTGTACCTTTCTGACAGCTGCCTTTACACCTTGGTGCTCCCTCTATGGAGGGAAAAACATGGGTATAATACAGCTTGCAGGGGCCTTCTGTGCAGTTCATGCAAGTGTCCAAGACAACACCAGCCCCAGATTTTCTTGCTTCCTATTGCACTACCCTCACCATCAGAATTTCACTACCCACAACCTAAAGAGATGCTATCTACATAAACCATGCTTCCTCTGTACAGCTCATTGGGTTAGGTGAAAGGGAAGTTGGTGCAATATTGGTGTTTGTGTGTACAATGGACGCTTGGGTTGCGAACGTGATCCATGCGGGAGGCACGTTCGCAACCCGCAGTGCTGCGTCTGCACACACGCGGGTTGCGATTTGGTCTTCTGCGCTGTAACCCATTCCGGTACTTCCGGGTTTGGCGCGGTGCACAACCTGAAAACACACAACCTGAAGCGTCTGTAACCCGAGGTATGGCTGTACAGTATTTGGCTTTTTCTACAGCTGTTCTTGATGCTCTCTCTTTATGGTTCTGGTTTCCCGGTGTGCCTGAGGAAAGATGGAGAAGGAGGTGGCTAGGCAATCAGTCTACACCTTAAATGTTTTGAGCGACAATCAAAACAATCAACAATGCTTTTTATTTTATGACATGTTTTTACCGTCTATCGAGGGCAGATTCACACCATACATTCAGAGGGCACTCAGAGCACATTTAAAGCACATGAATTACCACAAATCATTCTAGAACCCTATAGTTTTCCCCTCACAGACCTACAAGTTCCAAGTACTCCTAATAAACTACAGTTCCCAGGAGAAGTTGCACATTGTAAATGGGCATTCAATGTGCATTGAGTTTAAAACCCTCTTAAAAGGCTTTCAAACTGCTTTAAAAAAAAAACGGTAAAAATTTAAAATACAAAAACAAGCCACGTGCACTATCACCCATCAACAAAGGCTGGGACCCCTGACCATTAGGTCCAGTCGTGGACGACTCTGGGGTTGCGATGCTCATCTCACTTTATTGGCTGAGGGAGCCGGCGTACAGCTTCCGGGTCATGTGGCCAGCATGACTAAGCCGCTTCTGGCGAACCAGAGCAGCGCACGGAAATGCCGTTTACCTTCCTGCCGGAGCGGTACCTATTTGTCTACTTGCACTTTGACTGTGCTTTTGAACTACTAGGTTGGCAGGAGCAGGGACTGAGCAACGGGAGCTCACCCCACCGGCGGGGATTCGAACTGCCAACCTTCTGATCGGCAAGTCCTAGGCTCTGTAGTTTAACCCACAGCGCCACCCGCCCTAAGGATTACCAGGGGGTATATTGCATTGAAGTCAGTGCCACTTCTGAGTAGACAGGGTTAGGATTGCACTGTCAGGCATCCAAACAGTAGAAAACCTGCATTTAAAAAATGAAAAATAGAGCTCCTCCAAATTAAAAGCAGCATTTTTACATTATAAAGTCCAGGGGCGGGAGATAAATTAGTACAAGAATGTAAAAGTAAAAAAAAAAAAACTACGCTCGCACACAAACACAAAGGGATCTAGCTATCTTATCCCAACTGGAGGCTGATTTCTTTTAACTCTTTAACACTAACCATCATGACAGCATTGAACGAGGAGATAGGCTTGGGTGACGTCACAGCGACCGACCCCACCCCCTCCCGCACTCGGGCTGCGAACTTCCCTGCAAAACGAAAGCGCGCTCCTTGCGCATGCGCTGAACTCGCAAGGCTTCCCCGCCCTGCTCTCTCACACACACACTATGGCAGCTGCGCATGCGCTGTCCAAGCATTGAGCCCAAAGTCAGCCCCACCGTGGCGGTTGCTGGCAGTAAGGAACGAGATGAACGGTGGGGGTCCCGTGACCCTCAGCCCAAGTAAAACTGGAGAGCCGCCCCTGTCCGGAGGCGCTAGTAAGAAGCGAGGCTCCCTGGGGGCGTCGTCCTCACATCCTATATTAAAGGGTAAGAAGGGCTCGGATTTTTAACCCTCAGTGAGAGAATAACAAACGCGGGTGGTGCGCATGCGCAGCATCGGTTTCCTCAGTCTCAAAAGTTTCCTAGGGCGCATGCGCGACATAGGTTCTCAAGTGGAAAGGCGCCTCCTGGAGCACATGCGTGAAAGTGTCCTGTTTGAATGGGTTTCTCTAGCTTAGGCGGCTGTTGCAAAGGTAAAATTTACAAACGTGCCCGGAATGGAAAGGGGCGCTAGAGCTGGGGAAATTGGAGAACTCGTGAGGAACTCGTGAAACCGAGTTCCGCGGTGCTTTTTAAAGAAGTGTGTAAATGGGATTGCAGACTCCAAAAAAATGGCCATGGCCGTGTAACTTGCATAGCATTTGATAATTTGGATCCTAGGTAAGTTATGTGAAAAAATTCTGTGGAAGGAAGAGTTTTATTTGAAGAGGAGATCTACTCTGTTAGTATGAACAGTGGACACAAATAAGAGCATATTCATAAGAAACTCCTTATCTGCTCTCTTCCAGATAATCATTGAGAGAATATACTTTTAAATGGGCTGCTGCCCACCCTTTTTGAAAAGGTTACCAAAAGTTGAGTATAAAACAAGAGTGATATGGGAATCTCATTCAGCCTGAGAGGAGATTTTAACGTGGACCGTTTTCCAAGGGCCACATTCCGAGGGTGGGTGGAGCGAATGACAAAACAAACGAAACAGGCCAACATACATGCTGGCAAGCCAGCAGAGATTCCTCTGCCTGACTTTTAAGAGTAACTAGCAAGTCATGGCCGTGTATTTTCTAAATTCTTCCAGTTCTAACAGTGTTAAGCAGCTAACAGCAACAATAGCCAACCATTGTGCCTCGTTCTTAGGTTGCAAGACTATGCCTGAGAGTAAGTCCTACTGAACTTCCTTTTGAGTATCCAGCGGTATTTGTACTGCAAGGTATTCCATCTTCTTAAAACGTTTAAAAGTTGCCAAGTGTTTGACTCTCCATGGATTTGGAAGGCCTTGCTGCAAAGCCAGACGTGGAACAGCTCACTGCCCTGGAACCTCCAGCACTTTTCTGGCCTGAGAACAGGGCATACTTTGGTAATATGGCGCTCTGAGCGAGGACAAAATTGGCAACCCCCCCTGCCCAGATAAATACAGGTTTTATTGATAATTTTGTTGGCATCTGTCTGCCTCGGGAGACAATAGAGGAGTGCAGCTTTGGGGGGGGAGTCAAACTGTTGGAAGGTTGCAGCACCTGCTGTGACTGGATATGGGAAAGACATGCTTTGTTGCAGCTGGGGCAGATGCATAGCTGTCAACGTTTCCCTTTTTTTAAAGGGAAATTCCCTTATTCCGAATAGGATCCCTTGCAAGAAAAGGAGAAAGTTGACAGCTATGGGCAGATGAAGGTGTCTGGTTGTGTTGCTGCAGATGCACCACAACATTTCTTCTCTCTGCGCTGCTCCCAGAGGTCATTCCTGGAGGTGGCAAAAGAAAGGGAATGAAACTTAGACAGGTGGGATACCTTTCAAATGCCATGCAGATCATTCCACTTTTTACTGTGCTTCCCAGTGCTGTGTAATGCAGACTCATATTATTAACAAGGGACTTTTGGCATGGTATTCTATACAGTGTGCTGCTTGAGCAGCAATTGAGTGGTGGGGGTAGGATTAGTATAGTGCTGCCTTGCAAACAAGGAGCTGTAATGTGGATTCAGCCATAGTCAGAACAATGTTTGGGTACAATATTCCCTGCAAATATTTCCTTAAGATTTTGCATATAAAAGTCCACAAAAATTGTTACTCCTTGTTACATGCCTGATTTCAGATCTTTGGAAATTGCTTAGAGATTAGCGCTGGGATCCTCTAATTGCTCTGAAAAATTCCTAACAATCCAGTCCTATGCTAGCTTATACATGGGTTTAAAGGTAAAGGGACTCCTGACCATTAGGTCCAGTTGTGACCGACTCTGGGGTTGCGGCACTCATCTCACTTTATTGGCCGACGGAGCCGGCGTACAGCTTCCGGGTCATGTGGCCAGCATGATTAAGCCGCTTCCGGCGAACCAGAGCAGCGCATAGAAACGCCGTTTACCTTCCCGCCAGAGCAATACCTATTTATCTACTTGCACTTTGACGTGCTTTTGAACTGCTAGGTTGGCAGGAGCAGGGACCGAGCAACGGGAGCTCACCCCGTCATGGGGATTCAAACCGCCAACCTTCTGATCGGCAAGTCCTAGGCTCTGTGATTTAACCCACAGCGCCACCTGTGTCCCTATACATGGGTTTA